ACTCGCATCTTGTGACATTCGTTATTGCTCCCATTCACGCTGGGGCTCAAAAAGTCCCATTCACCCATATGTATAGAAACACTCACACATGTGCAAAATACTGGGGAAAAAAGTTATTGTATTTTTTTATTACAAATAATTTTACCGTATTTATTTTTAAAATTTGTATACAACATTGATTTCTAAAGAACATGACATACATGTATATTAAACATGAGACGCTCACAATTTGCCCCTATTGTGAACGTATTAAAGGGTTGAGCTTTGTAATGGCCATGTAAAAGGTTTATTTTAAGGAAGGGGGGGGGGGGTTAAGGGGTAATTTCTGAAAAATTGTGGTCATCGGCCAAAAAGTGAAAGTAAACTTGATGACCGATAATTCCATTGTAGTTCCCATTCACTGAGGGATCTTGCAGGCATTTAAAAAGTCAACATTTTTTCATTTATCACTGGCTTCAACTGGTGACATTTATTGAAGTGCAAAAATACCTTTTAAAATAATAAACTTGTGATAATTTTAAGCTATAATCAAGTCTTTGTGCAATTGCCAGAACTCGGTTTTTTCCCTTCAAATTCTACTTGCATCCATGTATGGTGGCTACACAATAAAATACAGATGGCTCATTGAAAAGACTTTGAATTTGTCATGTAGTTGTATGTGTCCATGTCCTTCCATACAAATTAACCCCATCTACTCTACAATTTAGTAAGTCAAAAATTCTCAAACTCACAGTATATGAACATTATGGAGAGTTCATTACCAAAACCATGATATATTTATTTGAAAAAAAGTTATAACATACACATAACATACACTAGAGAACAGCTGTTCCTGAACTACATTTGTTTATTTCCAAAGCGTGATTTACACCCTTTTAGTTAACTTTTAGAATCCTGCCCCCGGCTATCCTGGCTGCCTAAAGTCAATGTCAAACTGTTAAGCATGTATAGTTTAGCACAAATTAAGAAAACAGTGAAAAATGAAGTTTAGAAACAGCTGTTATTCTCGTTTTTATTCTTTAAAGTTCATAACCAAGCACATTTTTGCACTTTAATAAAAATTGCAATATCACCTATTGGAAATAAACTCTTCATTTTTCACTTCATTGTACTCTTAAATTGTGTTTTACTACATAAGGCCAACAAGCCTCCGGATTCTGGTATGCGCGCGCGTCGCCATAGCCATGCGCGTCGGCAAAATGAAAAGTTTTTTTTTTCAATGAAAGATGATGTCTCAAAACCGCCAAACTCACTGGTTTGACTGGAATCCTGCTGCTGCACAATTTTAACGTGTTTTTAGATGGGGTTATGATCGAGAATAAGCTTTATGTGGCCTCTCTGGACTCCCATATATTTGCACTAAGTTTAGTCGGGCACCATTTGCAGTCATCAGCCTTCATTTGAAGCAAAAAAGTCAGGTAAAAAAAAAAAAAGCCGCGTCGCCGCACCACTTTTTGGGCAAGCTCCATACCAGAAACCGGAGACTTTTTTTTTTTTGGCCTAACAACTGTTGAAACTAACTTTGGGCAACCAGGAAAGGGCAGTAATTTAAAGGTTTAAACCAAATGAAGTTTATCACAGTTTGGAAATAAGCTCTTCATATATTCATACATGGGCCTAGCCAGCGAGGGGGGGGGGGGGGGGGGGGGGGGGGGGGGGGTGTTAGGGGGTTATTTACAATATTTTGTAAATACTGTCCTTTCCATGCAAATGCCCTTTTTTCACCAGCGCTTAACTCCCCCCCCCCCCAATAATTTGTAAAGAGTGCCTTTTTTTTTAAGAAGTGCCCTTTTTCTCTGAACAAGTGCCCTTTTTAAAAAGATGTGGTGCCCTTTTTTGTGCCCTCTGCTGTTCCGGATGCCTTTTTTGAATTTCACGCATGTATCGCCCTGAAAGCACCATATATTGTTCGTTAGTGTGCATAATCGTCGGTTTTGAACAGCGCCCCCATCGACAGATGGTACCAGCCCCCCCCCCCCCTTTGATTTTACGGAGGCCAAGTGTCCAGAAAAAAAAAACGTGTTTACATTTCACCACGGATGTGCAAGTGCCCTTTTCAAGAAATGTTTACCCCCCCCCCCCCAATAAAAATGGCCGTGCTACACCACTGTCATACTACATGCCCACATACATATGTAAAAACGTTTACTTCACACCAAACCAAATTCAGCAAAGTTCTGTTTCAAAGTTGCAATCCCTAAGCTCCTCCAAAAATGATTTTTTTTTTTCCTAACAAATTTTAAGCTTGTATGTTTTTGTTTCAACGAAGAAACTACTTTATTCCAAATTGGGGCATCTGCAACCCTCTGAAAAGTGCTTTCATTTTGCGCACAAATAAACCCGTCCTGCGAGACGTAAATTATTGTCCGACAGCCAAAACATTTGTGCAGAAAAAATTCAGTTAATAAACGTCGGTGGATTTTTTCATTCGATGTCTAATTCAAAAGTGGATATTTTTTATACTGCTAGGAAAATAGCAATTGAAAAACACATCTATTTTTCAAGGTGAAACTCAAAAGTAGCACGGGGAATGTTTCTTAAACAAAAAGAAAACAAAAGAGTTAAGTAATAAAATTTTGCATGTGGTGAATCAGCACAGGTCATCCATTGTCTAGCACACAATTCTGTTTTAATCAGATTAATCCAACTTTGAGGTGATTTCTTAATTCCCCCCCCCCCCCCAAGTAACTACAAATTTATGATATACAACATTGCAACAACACAATAGATTTCAAAACAATTTTCATTATTATATATAAATAATGGCGATAAAAAGTATATAAAGTTCATTTGTGGCTATATGCACAGCAGATCGTCTCTTTAAATTTGCATGTTCTTCAGATTACTAACTCGTACAGTAGAGAAGATACTGTTTAAGATTTAACATGAAATAATAGTAAGAAAGAACACGACTCGTATTTTTTTCTGTGAAGTTCATCATGATGTATTCGGGAGTAAACCAATCACGTTAGCCTAGTTAGGAGTTGTGTTACGCTTAATCTACATAATACAACCTGTCTGCTATGTTACCTGGGAAAAATTTCAGAACGATGGCAAATAAATGGGCACACATGTACATGATTTTTTGGCAAGATTGAGAAAATAAAATAACTAACTACTCCACAGCATAGGCCAAGTTCGGGCAAGGACCATTAGTCGACTAGTGGTTGATTTGTGACGTACCTTACGCCTGCGCACTAATAGCAACGTGCAAATGTCTCTAGTCAAACGCTGGTCAAAATGTCATCGTGAAACTTCTGGATCCTGGCTCTCTGCTAGCGTTATGAATGCGCGCGGCTATTGGTTACCAGCGAAGCAACCAACCCCAGTAGGCTGGTTCCAAATAGTCGACTAGCGTAGTCAGCCACCATCGACTAGACAGAGTTCGGGCAAACGTTAGTTAATCATTGGTCAACTATAGTCCTTGCGCGAACTTGTCATTATATTGACCACTTGACAACACTGCATTATGAAGGGATGATCAGAAAGAAAGTAAAATGCTTTGTTCTCAAAAAATTGTCAGTAAACCTCGGCTATCCAATAAGATTTCCATACATACAAAATTACAGTAATTTCTATATAAACATATTTCTAATAGAATCATCGGTCATCATAATTTTAACACCTGAAGTACAGATCAGATATTACTAATCTTTTTTAAATTGAATCTGAATGAAATTAGTTGCTCTGGTAGACAAAATATTTTTTCTTCGCTTATCGGCAGTTGTTTATCAGTCTGAACTTGAGCTCTCAATGTTGAGAATTTGAGAATCACTGATTGTTTCACCTCTGGTGAAATTTCCCTTTTGAACTACATATACCTGTACATCTGAAGGGTCAGATTTTCATGAAACTGTTAATTTGGGCAATTCACAATGCAGTGCGCCACCAATAGTTTTGCCATGGAGAGTCCATTTTTCAAATTTGCAGTCGACAAAACATGGCCCATTTGAATGAGTGTCAGTAGACAACTTGAGCTAATTTGTTATAGACTGGGGCATAGCGTTCTGACGCCTTAGAAAAAAAACATATTGATAAAAAGCAAAGAAAAGGGTAAACAGATACTGGAGTCATACGCGTACGAAACTACTGACAGGAAAAATGAACAATTTCAAAAGTCCCACGCTGCAAATTTGTCGACCATCTCCTACAATGCACTGGGAAAAATGGACTCTCCCCAGCAAACTCTTGGTGGCGCACTGCATTGTGACTCGCCGAATTGTCAGAAAACCTTGGCCTTCCAATAAGATCTGCATACATACAAAATGATAGTAATTTCTATATATATAAACACATTTCTAGCACAGCCCAGCAAATTTATGTGCCAAGGGTGCATTCGATTAGCTCACCCGGGTCAAATCGGGTTAGCCCAGTGCCGTTCGATTAGCTCTGACGTCATTCTCAGGGCTCACCCAGGTCAGCCACCACAGACCCTGCTCATGGAGTGGTGGAATTACGTCACATGCATGCGTTGTTCATTCCAAGAAACGGATAAATATGGCAGCCAGACAGCCGAAAAGCTCAAGTAGACCCACAAATCAACTTTATTTGAAGTATAAACATTGTTATTTATTGAGCTCATTGAGACTTTAGAGGCTATAATTCCAGCCCGACTGTGTTACGTTTTGCAACTGACGGAAAAGCAGTAAATCTCAAAGTGTGACTTGCAGTTCGAAAATATACTATGTCAATGGCTATGACCACAGCTACGGACACTGCTCAGTCTATGAAATTGTCCAGTTTGGGATTTAATAAAAGTTAAATCTATCCATCTATCTGCATGTATCTACAGACGTAGCTACGGACGTCACATGATGATCTTGATGGCCGCATATGAGCATTTGATTAGACCGGCTGTCATGGCTAACCCATCTGCCTTTACCTGATTTGATCCGGTTGGGCTACTTGAACGCACCCATTGTAAAAAATCAACTGAATACCAGTCACAATATACATGTAGTACATTGTATTACATTTGAGGCTGGTAACCCATTTTGCCTAATAGCAAATATTCTCTATATTATCCAAATTTCTTTACTTAGAAAATGTTCTCTGTACAAATCAAGATTCTGTGATCGAGTTTGGCCGCATGACACGATCAGTGTGTGATTTTGGCCATTTCATCAAATTCTCCACTTTCTTGATCTCGCCTCACTGACCGACAGAAGGATCTTCAGCTAGAGTTTGAAGGACGCTCTCCAGAAGATTCACCAATCCTTGTGACCTCAGTACTGCTGTCACCAGCTAATGAGTCATCTTGACCTCTGGACTCATTTTGACCCGTGACCTCGAGGGAAACATCAGCAGGTTCGACCTCCGACCTATTGGGGTCATCAGATTTGTGTGGAACCAAATCTTCAGAATCATTGGTAAAGCTAACGTCGTCAGTAGGTTTGTCTGAAGTGTTTGAGGTCACATTTTGAACTTTGACCTCTGTGGCTGGTTCAGGGGTCACGTTGTCAGCAGCATGGGCGGTTGTAGAGTTGTTATTTCCTGTAGTCTCTGGAGGAGTTGCTTTCTCTGTGTTGTCCTTCGTCCCGCTGGTGAGTCTTAGTCCCCCTTCAGGCCCGTCAACAGGAGTACCACAGCTCTCTGTCATGATGTCCATCTTCAAATACCTGGGAATAGAGGACAAATTTAGGTTAGTTAAAAAGCTTTTTCACAAGCAATTCTCACAAGGCATTCTCTTTCACCCCTTTGTTGGGGAAACAGACGAGTTGAACCGGAATCCTCAAACTGAAATGACAGGACATAGCATTCCAATCCTCTAATAAAACTCTGAGACTGCTCGACGTTGGCTAAATTGTACAGTTTTGATAGGAAACTGGTTGCATAGAGACTGTGAGCCTGAAACTGCTCACACTGACTCTGCCTGTCATTTCCACAATTAGCTCAATCTTGTGCATCACCTGTTCACGTGTACCCTCACACAGGGTGACTGTTTTAGCCGATTTTCAGCTAGATCTGACAGATTTTTTGGGGAAAAAAATTAAATAGAGCAGAAAATCTGGCAGAATGAAAATGTGTGCAGAATTTTGTAAAATCGGTGATCCTAGCAGAAAAATGTAGCAGATTTGTTTTGAACAAGCTTCAATCACTTAAAACAAACCCACGAACAGTGGGGATAGGCAGGCAAGTCTAAGCATTGAGGTTCCCTGATGTGTACGACTATACTATAGACGTTGAAAACCAGCCTAGACATGTGCCAATTTCTTTGTAAAGGAAATTTTTTAACATCTGCAAGTGAGTATAAGTGTCTATAATGTGTTTGTGTCATTCTGGGCGATTTTGCAAATGTTTGTTAAATCTAGCAGATTTTTGAAGTGCATTCAGCAGAATTGTGCCGTTTCCATTTGGTCACCCTGCCCTCAAGTGCCATGTCTGGCCTCTCTCGACTAAGCCACACATACACAGCTATAATTTCCTCCACACAAATCCACAGACCGAGTCACCAATACACGAGGTTGAGGAGTTCTTCTCCTTTACCTTGCAATGATATCATCCAGCCACTTCTTGTGTTTGAGGTCATCCTTCCAAGATGGAGGCAGGTTGCGATATCCCAGTTTGCAGCCGAGTAGAGCTCCTGCAACCGCCCCATTGGTGTCTGCATCGCCACCCTGTACATAAACAAAAACCCAAGACTTCATGTCCATGTAATGAGATTTGAATTGATGAGTCAAAAGTCTGAAACCAATATCAGATTCTTTCAATTCTTTAAACACAGACACAGTTTTAAAATTGTGTCCACGTTGTCACATTTAACCAGTTCGCGCCAGGATTATTTTGACATTGACCGGACCCCGGCGCGGGATTGTTTTTCACAAACCTCGATGCCAGACGGGTTCAGGTCGTCATCTGCGGGTAGCACACCCTGATATTTCCAGCCTCGTTTGCTGCGGGCGGGTCGCAGACAGATATTTCTGGCCTCGCTTGTTGCGTGTTTATCTGTCATCCTTTGCAACCTTTGCGTGTATAGACTCTACCTCCCTAGATCCTGCAAATTCCTTTTCTAAAACCATCCGATAGAATCTGAAGGTTAAAGACAGTTTTGCTAAACCCTAACTCCCTAGATAGTTTTGCTAGGATGCAACCTAAATCCTGCAAAATCCTGCAAGTGCTTCCATGTAAAAATTGCTTCCATGTAAAAATTGCATACGGACTCAATCCTGCAAAATACACCATTATTTCTTGAATGTGGTCCTTGGAGGGGTGACCACTGCCTCAATCCTGCAAAATGCTCCAGCAATCACTGTCAATATGTTGAGGCAGAGCCAGTGACAACCTGGAGCAGTGCGGAGGATTTCAAGTATACTCTAGGCCTAAATTTATGCACTGCTGAGCATAAACAACACAAGGTCCGGCCCAAGACCTGAACACAGTGCATCCTCCAAAATTAGCCACACATTTTTGCCATACAGCCTCAACTCAACAAAATCATCCATTTTGCAAAGAGGATTTTGGAGGATTTGGGAAGGTTTTGCTCAATGAAACGTGCGACCCTTGACTTCTTGGTAATGATCCAATAGCATAATACGACAATAACTGCGGCTTGGTAAATATACTTCCTGACCAAGACTTTAAAAACACTCTGAAGAATGTCTGTTCCTACCTCCAGTGTTATTGCCTCAATAGCATCTCTGAACTTCTTCTGTCTGAGGGCCCAGAACCCAGCGCCAAGGCACTTGAAGGTGTAACCAATCTTCTTTCTGTCGGCCAGCTCAAGTTCGTCTAACGAGGCGTTCATGTGAAACTTCAATTCCTTGACCTGAAACAAAATGAAGATGACAGTGCTAAGATGCCGTCTTTACTTACCAAAGGAACAGTATGTCGTGCGAGTAGTGGCGTGTATTTGCGGGGAGTACGGGAACCGGATACCCTATTGAAGTTAAACACGGGTACCCGGGTACCCGGGGAACCGTAAAAGAAACTCAACCCACAATTCAAATCCAAGAAGCTTTGTAGCTTTTTGGTGTAAACTGCAAACTTTCGGGAACATCATCTGTCACGTGTTAAAATGCACATAAACGTGAATCTGTTTTGGTTTTCCATGTAGCCAGGTTTTCATTTTGAACATTTCCCATGAATGCATTCAAAATCTTTCTTGTTCATTGTCTGAGATGTTACTAAGGAATTTGTAAAGTTGGTTATGGGTTCCCTGATTCCATGATCTGGAACCGGTTCCTGACATCAGCGGTCGGGTACTCAGGTACCCAATTCCATTGCACATCAGTAAGCGCAAGAGACAGCTTTAAGCAGGAACAAGTAGCGTAGGCTATTTAAGATGGTTGGCTATTAGATTTGTGAAACTACAATAGGATAGTGGCACAGTAAGCAGAAGCAAAGATTGTGACTATCAGTGAACAGGGCATGACTTGACTTCCAAGACGTCAAATTTGCATTATGCCAAGTACAGAGTGTGGCAAAAAAATTGCAACATTCAGAAAACAAATAATTAAAACTGATTAATGTTTTTTCTTCAATGAAATTATATATTACATTAATGCCTGAATATTTCTCAATCCACTCCTTTTTACCTCATTCCATATGGGTCCCTAGATCCAGGAATACGATCAAATAAGTGAAAGGGTATCAATTTTATTTGGGCCACTCTCACCTGGACACGTTGAACTTTGATCTGGGTTTAGCATTGAATAGGCATTGAGGTTGGTGACATCACAGGTGAGAGTGGCCCAAGTAAATGTTTACACCCTTTCACTTAACTGCTTGTATTTCTGGATCTTGGGACCCAAATGGAATGGGGAAAAAGGAGTGGATTGAGAAATAGTCAGGTCTTAATGTAATGCATCATTACATTAAAGGAAAAAAAACATTTTTAGTGCTTTATTTCTAAATGTTGCACTTTTTTGGCACACTCTGTACACAATAACTTCGGCTGTGAAAAAGATTGCCATATATTTGTTTTGTTACGCATGTTCGCCCTGTAAAAGGCTAAAAATCACTCCTATACAGGGCTACAAGAGAAATATAAAGAGTAAGTACTCAGGAAAACTGAAGGTAGGAATTAACATTCATCTTGCAACAGGACAGATCATAGGTTGGAGGGAAGCAAGCACCAGGCAGCAGTGTTTTTATCTGCAGCACACATGGACCATGATTAATTATTCAGCTAGTTCGATGTTTATTCATCAGAAAATAACAAAGGTGTCACACCATTGCTATCACTCAGTCATGCATGTACATTCAAGCATTTCAAAGAATGGTTTTCGTCCGGTTGTCACAGTGGCCTAATGGAAAGTCGAATAAACTATGGATCGCAAGATCTGTGGTTCGAACCTTCGTTCATTTTCATGGAATATTTTTGTTGGTTGGGATAAGTTTAATTGAAGGGAAAACACTACGAGAACCTAAGTGTCTTCCATCCACACGGCGTGATAAATATTCATGTTAGTGCGAGTGATGCGATTTGTAAAAATACGACGTATACTGCAACAAAAAAATATGCCACCAGGCAAGAATTCCAAAGAGATGCGGCACGTGCGAAAAAGCTTTCGGAATATCTTTTTGTTCTACATCTAGGTACTGCAACATGTACATAAGTCTTCATATTTAAAAAAAAAATATTCTTTAACCATTACGAATCCATGAAATCACATGGGCTTATTTCTTGTTGACTAAAATGTGAAGCTGATGATGTGAATACTAAACATGGGGTAAACATTTAGAAGGGTGCTTAAAATATCGTGTGGCAGTTTTAAAAGCTAGCATGGTGGCCTGCCCAGGATTTTTTTCTCCCAAACGACATCCACATGGGTGTACGCTGTGGCGTTTTGGACTTAACTTTTATACAAACATGAGAAGAAAATATAAAATTAGAAAAAAAAGTGAATTTGAACGTTATGAAATTCTGACTTTATTTCCCTTTTAAAAAAAATCCTCCAAAGCCTCGGGTTAGAAAAGGAAAAAAATCGGGTGCAAAACCCAGATTCGAACCCGCAACCTCGCCGTGCAAAATCCTACTCTCTATCGACTTAGCTGTCGCACTGCTCGCCAAAATGTGGGGAAACAAATAATTATATACCTGCGTGCGAATCAAAAAAGTATCGTAGAGGGTGCTAAACAACCATGTATGCGGATGTCGTTTAGGAGAGAAAAAAATTGCGGCCTGCCCTCCAATCACCCCCGGGAAGAACACTGAACATGAATCACATCAAGAGACTGTCTTCTTACAACTAATACGCTAGTCCAAGCTTCAAACCGACCCCTGAAATGCTGAAAGAAATTAAGGCAAGTCTCATCACCTGTTCTGCATCCAAATTTCCCTCTTCGTCCCGCAACAGACACTCCTTGGCGTAATTGAAAGATGCCTCGGTGAGGCTTGTGACATCGTAATGGCCGTCAGGCATCTTGTGTAATCCTCGCAACATCATGGAGATGGCCGTTGTCACGGCAACACAGGATGCAATACATCTATAATGACAACCACAAAAGGAAACACAGAATATTAGAGTTATCTCCAACTGCACTGACAATGAGATACTGCGTAATGAAATATCCGGAGAGAACACATCATTTAAAGGAATGTACAACATTTGCTTTTGCTGCAACTTTCAGAAGTAAATGAACTTGGAGGATCAGTAACATAGCAAATATTGTTAAAATGACTTATTTCATATTTTGGGCTTGTAGATGCTGGAAAAACCAAGAAAACCAATCATGTTCTGATAGTCTGATTCCTTGACCCCACTTACATGTAACATGAAACAGAGCAATTTATAGACTTTGGGGAATTGTAACGTCAAAGAATCAGTCTAGCAGGCTTGTACCCCTTCACAGGTGTGTAATCAATTGCAAAGAAAATGCGGTATAACTAATTATGAAAAATTAGGAGCAATTTTTGAAAAAAGGCCAGTTTTCTCCAACGTTGGTCTGCCGACCAGCGTTGGGAAAAAAAAACAAGTTTTCTCGAAAATGTCAGCACACCAGGAGCCACAAATTTACAGGATGCTTTAGACTGTCATTCCCTAACAAGCCAGTAAGGTATTTCGTGATAATTTGATTACTTCGTTTTGTGATGTTTGCAAATGTTGTATTTTCCCTTAACCCTAACCCCCTAGGCCCTTGTTGCTTACAACCATCCTCAATCCTCCAAAATCCTCCAAAAATTTTCAACTCCGCCTAAATTTTTCAAAATTGTCAGACAGTCCTGCCTCAAAATGAAATCATCCTCATTCTCCAAAATCCTCCTCATCCCAAAACTTTGCACTCGTGTTTAAATGAAGGATAACCAACGCCAAATCCTTCTAAATCATCAGACAGTCCTGCCTCAAAATGCATTCATCCTCAATCCTCCAAAATCCTCTTGTGCTTCATTCACCATTCATCCTCAATCCTCCAAAATCCTCATGTGCTTCAATCACCATTCATCCTCAATCCTCCAGAATCCTCATTTGATTCAATCACCATTCATCCTCAATCCTCTAGAATCCTCCAAAACCGCCAGGAGGATTTTGGAGGAGTGAGGTGGGTTAGGGTTAAACATCATATGAGGCAGGAAATGTACCTTGGGTCTGCGTGGGTGACTTTACAGAAGACCTTGGTGTTGCTGATGACTTGGTTGATGTCGTCGTATCTGTGGATTCCTGCGACGGACGTTCTCATGACTCCGCCGTTGGGCGCTAAATATCGTTTACTCGCCTCCCAAACATTTAGCGCTGCCTGTGACGAGAGGCAGATGTTCAAAGGAAGTGAATACAAAAAAAAAGGGTTACAAAACACAAATGCCTCGCAATCGTAACTGTTGCCATGACATGACACCACCTTTTTAAAGGTAGAATGTAATATTTGTCATTTGTCCATTTTTTTCGTTTGAAGCAACAAAATTGCTCAAAATGTAAAGAAGGGTGCTTAACAACTAACCTGATGAACTTTTGGTTCAGTGAATGCGGTATATTCCGAGAAAACAATATTCTGGGATCTCGATTTAAATTTAAAAGTTGCAGAATCATGTTTTGAATTGCGGCCAAAATCAGCATGCGGGTCACGGTCTCATTCAGCCGACTGCAGCTACGTGATGTCACACACTGAACCAACAAATTATAGCAACCTCGTGCGCGTATGCGTCGTGTCAATGCTTGCGCACACCCATTCACGGCTTCGTCGAATTGAAAATATACTACTAGCGGAAATTTCCAAAAAAGCGTCATTAGACGCATCTTGGGAAATTACCTTCTTTCATTGTTTTCTTCAAAATGACAGCATGCCATTTCACAGAGAGTTTAGTGCCATTAATAACTTTATTAAAACCAAGCATGCTTTTCAACAATAAATTTGTCAGTTAGTTTTTGGATAACTGCAAAGTCTCTACCTTTAAGTGTTCACCATTTGTTCATGCAAATGAGGTTTTAAGCAGCTTTTTGTGTCTGTTTGTCTGTGGGCATTCCTCAATTGATCAGTCGATCAACGCAGATTTTCCACACCAAAAAGCTGGCAGGGCCTAGAAGCTGCCTTATGCACAATATTGAGTTGTTCTTCCTCTAATGCATCACTGAGGAATTCAAATATGGTTACAGATTCTGATCTGCATTGCTTCTGGCAACAATTACCAAGCCAGGCACGCTGAAGTCCACATGGCAACCCGCAGGAAGTTCAAAACCCCATGTCCCCCATCATGCTAGTCAACGCTCACCTGATGCGGGTCTGTCTTGTAGTCTTTGTGGCTCAGCACCTTGAGTGTAGTTTGGCCCAGCCCCATGCCACACGGATCTCCGAGTTCAGCAAAGCCGTGCTCCCTCCAGTTCAGCAGTTTGACCGAGAAATCCAAGGCGTCCGCCTGTGGTGAAGATGAATGACTGCAATTCAACTTTCATTACGAACCCTTACTCCCTAGGCATTTTTGCTAGGATGTAGCCTCAATCCTGCAAAATCCTTCAACTGGTCTCATGGAAAAATAGCATATAGGCTCAATACTGCAAATTCCTACATTATTTCTTGAATATGGTCCTTGGGGGTGACCACTTCCTGAATCCTGCCAAATCCGGCGGCAGTGACTGTCGATATTCTGCGGCTTGGCCAGTGACATCCTGGAGCAGTACGGAGGATTTCAAGCATAATCCAGGCCTACGTTTATGCATGGCTGAGCAAAAAACAACACAAGGTCTGGCCCAAGACCTTGACAAAGTGCATCCTACAAAATCAGTGACGCACTCAATCCTCCAAATTCCTCCAACTTGGCAAAGAAAATTTTGAAGGAAGGATTCAGGGCGGTTAGGGTTAAGTACCGAAATAAGACATTCAGTGAATTACATATCCATGCAAGATTAAAAAAATAAAATGTACGTTGGTGTACCTTTCCATCTTTGTCCATCAGTGATTGGAGGATCAAGATCATCTGATCGCTGTCGTCCGTCCAATCAGCTTCCGGAAAGACCATCTGATGCATGTAGTACGTGGCAGCGATTTCTTTCATTGGGTATTCAAGGTGCTTTCCACCGTAATACTATGAGTAGGACAGAAAAACACTTTAAGATTAAAAATTGCTTGCCATCGACAAATTCTATAGACTGATACATAGGTGATTTATTATGCAACTAGACTGCGTACATGTACATGTAAGACCTCAAGAAACTGACCATTCAACGGGCGCCTTCTATACGCGCGTAATGCGAACCCCTCGCGTGCGTAAACATCAAGCCCATGATGATTAGCATTTTGTTGTTGTATTACAAATACGTGGCATTGAAATTGACCAATCAATATCTTAGTCCATATTTCGGAATGATGTGACATCACAACTTTCTACACATGTTTAGATATATCAGACGTTGGACCGGAGACAGAGGACTCGTGGACAACGGGTGATACTCAGAACTGAAATTCCTGGAGTTCTTTGTAAAACCTTTGGACATGCCTCTTTTCCAACTGATACCTTGGAAAAAAAATCTCTCAATCTCTAAAATTTTGCATCAGGAATATTAGCTTTGAAAGTTACATTGCCCTTTATGAAGTAAATTTTTGAGAAAAACAAAATTCTAGGATCTTGATTTCAAATCAAAAGTGGCTGAATCATGTTTTGAATTGGGCATGAATCCAGTGTCCGAGACACATTCTCGCTAGCAGATTGCAGCTACGCGATGTCACGCACTGATCCGACGAATTATAGCAACCGCGCAGGCACGCGTGCGTCGTGCCAATGCTTGCGCGCGGTTCGCCGAATAACAAAACAAACTATTTATTTGAATTTCCTATAGTGCTTCTTAAGAAGCACCGTTGGAAAGGCCTTCTTTCGTTGATTTCTTCAAACTGACAGCTTGCCAGAAAGAATAATTTCACAGAGAGTTTAGTCCCCTTGCTATCTTTCAACCAAGTACGTTTTTCAACAATAATTACGCCAGTCACTTTTTGGATAGCTGCAAATGATGGACTCTGGCTCTAATACGTGAAGTACTGAAATACATATATTACTGAGTTTTACCCTTGAGGAAATGTGAATTTTTTTTCTGAAACGATGGGCCACTCAGTAGTCTGGTGATTATGTGTACACAATCAATAAAAATAGATAACAGATGTTGGATCAAAGCTGTATAAATTGAGAGTCGAAAATTCCTCCCACGTCATTAATTGTTAAAGGTCTTCGAAAGTCCACCAGGACAAAGTCATAGCACAATCTACTCAAATGGCAGTGAAAACAGCATTCCTTGCTCCTGTTTCTGCCCTGTTACTAATGAAGACCAGACTTGTGAATAGACTTGTGATGAACTTAAATGCAACACTTCCTCCCTTTCTCAAATTTAATGGGCCACGCCCAGTCCGAACATTTGGGACTCTCAATACCGAATATTTGGGACTCTCAATACTCTGTATGAGAGTCCTAAACTTAAGGTATTGAAAACATGCAACACAAGAAAATAGACTGGCACATGAAACGACCAGTCCAATCTCATTTTGGTACTGCATCAGTCAACTGTGTCAACAGAAACGTCTGGTATGCGGTCTCTATTTCTACACATCTCTCCATGGTCCGCCACCAGACCACTGAAGGGTCAATCTTTTCTAGCAGTCGGACACGTATCAGTCTAGTCTTAGGCTTCAAAATGAAATCACTTGGCTTCAGTCTCAGGTGCAAAATTTTTAAGTAAAGTCTCCTTTATAAAACTGAATAAGGTCCATGCGTATGACATCATCATAGGCTATAAAAAGATGCACAAATTGACCTCACTGAGGTCAAATCTCCATATAAGTTTACTGTGGGAAAACGGCAGTGCATACCTTGGCCATAGACATGTAAGTTAACTGTGGGATAACGGTCGTGCATACCCTCTGTTGAGACTTCAAACTTGGCTGGTGAAATACTCAGGACCTTGTCTTTGCCTCATGCTTTTGAGAATTTTATCAGCTAAGAGTCAGTCAAGTTGGCCTGAATTGATTTTGCATATTTTTTTTTTGCACTAAAGATCCCTGTCTGGGCCATGCCATGGTCCTCTATACCTTACCTTCTGGGCCTGTTCTTTGCTGAGAAACTCCGTCATCAGGCCGATGGCGTCCCCAATGCAGTTGCCGTAGATTGTGCCTAAAATCTGATCCTGTAACTTGTTGTTGGGGTCAGGGGTCAAGGTCAACTTGCCATCGTTCACTTTTTCTTTGCCCCAAAGTTTTCTTGGTAGAACTGATGAAAATGCCTTGCCCATGATGGTCACACATGCATGAACAACCGGAGCTTAGAAAAAATGTTGACAGAATGTTGTCTCACTATACAGTCAGTGCGACAGTTCCGGATCATCGACAGTTCTGAATCACCTGATTGAATAAAAAATAATTCGACTGTAACAAAATGCCAATATTCTTGCTGTTTAACAACAACATCGCAAGGGACTGTTTTGACCATCACCCTCGGGCAACACACTCCAAACATTTCCGGCCTCACTCGCTGCGAGCGGGTCACTGACAGATATTTTCGGCCTCGCTCCCTGCGTGTTTATCTGTCATCCGTGCCGAATACTGCAAAACCTTTACGTTTATACTCGGCCTATGGAGCGAACTGGTTAAGTGTTTAAGCATTAAATTGTGGGGCGTGGGGCGGCGACAGCCCCCCCCCCCATGAAACCTTGTTGCCCCCCCCCAGTCGCCCCCCCCCCCAACTGAGATTTTGAGTTTCTAAAAAAAATATCATTGATCTAAATGACGCCCCCCCCATGAAATGTTCCAGCCCCCCCCCCCCCCCCCCCCCACCACTGAAAAATTCCTGGCTACGCCACTGCTTAGTCTGGTTCCATTTAGACATGAACGTCGGGAATAATTGTCAGGTCTGGGAACCAGAATAGTGGTTACTAAGCAAATCGCACGTGCGCACTGCGCATTCACGCTGCACGCCATGGACGTACGCACTGATCTCTATATAAAGACTGGATAGCGGATATGCATACAACATTCACACAGTAGACTTTGCATATTGACCAATTCGCCCCCGGTCTCACGAAGATGGCCGCGTATAATTCAAACGTTCTACGCGTAAATACGCGCGCGTTGTATCAACAGTTAACGCGCATTTTGGTCACGTACACATATTATGATGTTCTAAAAGGGACACATTTCCGTAGTGTTATTATTTCAAAAACGCAAAAAACGTGATTTGCGGTATTTTAAAAAGTAACCACGACGTTAGAAAAATTGTAGTAAACCTTGGTCAGTGGGGGTGGTCAAAATATAAGTCAAGTGAACCTTGACGTTACAAAAGAAATCATGCTGTCTATAAAAACAGCAACTTGTCCTTTGTAGATCACCAGCCGGTCTCACCAATATGGCATCAAATTCATTCATTGTGCGGCTCTTTATTAGCTTTCCAGTCTTTATATAGAGATCAATGGACGTACGTCATGCATGTACGACTAGACTCAGCGGTGAGAAACTGATGAAAAGAGTCTACAACAACGTACAAGTTTAACGTTGCTTAAGAGTTTATTTTCCTGATTACGGTCGGTCAGCATCGCATATGGAATTCCTGAACCCAGTGGCCAAATAGATACATGTAAGGACACATAGAATACTACGTCTACGATGTAAACATTGGCTTCTCCAACAAGCATGACAAGGCAAAAATATTGAAAATATTGGTCATAAATTTTTTCGCCCGGTTTTGAGCACTTCACATCCTGGACTCCCTCCGTAATGTAGGGAGGAAAGGGAGACCACCTGGGCTAGCCTACTGCCTAGATGTTCGTGTACGACTATCGACCTAGGCCTACCTTAGCCCCATAAATGTGGCCTATTTACTGGACTGCCTCCGTAAACATAGGCCACACATCCACATGTACAAAAATCGTGTCGACTTTGCCAAATTTTGATTTTCACATTTAGGCTTAGTTTGTAGGGTTTTTTTGCTTTAGAAGCATACTCACCCTCTTTATAGGCTAATCAGAAAGTGCTGCCTTTTTCAGATGTATATTTTTCGTGAAATTTCCAGATTCATTTTTACACGTTTGCGTATCAAAATTTCATTTTCAACATGAAATTTCACAAAAATTAGACATCTGAAAAAGGCAGCACTTTCTGATTAGCCTATAAAGAGGGTGAGTATGCTTCTAAAGCAAAAAAACCCTACAAACTAAGCCTAAATGTGAAAATCTAAATTTGGCAAAGTCGACACGATTTTTGTACATGTGGATGTGTGGCCTATGTGTTTACGGAGGCAGTCCAGTAAATAGGCCACATTTATGGGGCTAGGCCTACCTACACTGACCTAGTACGTGGGACGATGGAGTTCGAGTTGGTCGTTACTTAAGTTGCCTGCAAATTCGCACAAGGAGGTAGGAAAACACACAGTTGTAACACTAACAGATGCACTTCCAAACGAAGGAAGCTTGCTTTATTTGCATGGACTAGAGTCATCTCCTTTATATATGCTTCTGAAATTAACGTGTGACTCAGACCGAATTATTTCACAATGCATTCCAATCCTGGATCCAGTTCCTACATCCACCGTACGTACATGTACATGTACATGTACATGTCTGACATGTACGTACACGATGATCGTGACACATATCCGTACAAATGAAATGATGCGTACGCCGTACGCGTTCGAGTAGCTTATCCGATACTCCTGCGCCGCGCCTTTAGTTTGGCAGACCAGTAAATAAGCCCCGATGATAAATGCCCCCACTTCAGAAATTCAGACAAAAAAACTCACAACTCTCTAAGGCATTCGAGACACACATCAAATTAAGGCATATTTCATCATCTTTCATTTTCTTCTCAATTTTTGGGGGTTAACTGATGACTTTTATGAAAAATTTCGGGGGGTTAACTGATCACGGACTTTTATGAAAAATTCCACCTAAAACAGTAATTTCTTCTTCTCATTGTCTTCTCTCTAAGTTGGTGAGATGTTTTCCCTGGGACGTTGTGCCGACTATAACATAAGAAGATGACTACCCTTCAATAAGTTAGCGCTCAACTGGAAGAAGAGAAGAGTACCCCTTAAAATAGTCCAGAAGCCCATCGCCATTTTGAAAAACGATGCCTACACTCCATTGCAAAATAAGAGTGCTTGTACTCAAGGGCGGATCCAGAACACAATTTTTTGGGGGGCCAAAAATTTTTTTTTTTGATTCTAGATGCTCTGTGGTGCGATCTGAGGCAATTTCTGACCACTTTAACCAATGTTTTTTTGAGGAAAAGGTGGTGGTGTACTCATTGCCTGCCTTTATTGCGATGTCACATAACAAAAAAAAAAAATTGGTTTCGTTTTTTTTTGGGGGGGGGGTGGGGCCATGGCCCCCTTTGCCCCCCCCCCCCTGGATCCGCCCTTGCTTGTACTAGGCCCCGGCCCCAATTTCATCCAAATTCACAGAACTATAAGCTCACAGTCCTGTGCACGGCTTCCACACATATCTTTTACAAACCCTCAAGTTCATGACCCATTATGTTCAAATAATTATTTGGACCAACTTACTGGCCTGCAACCTTTTATAGCCGGCCAGGCCCGTACCGTGCATGCTCGATTAGGTTTAACGTCATTAATTCAGGCCTTTCGCCATCCGCCCATATTGTGAGATAGATCCACATGGCTTAAGAGTGTAGTAGAAAATAACAAGGATTAATGGTTAGCAACTTCTTCGTGGCCAGCCAGGACTGGTCAAGGGCGGATCGGGGGGGGGGGGCAACGGGGGTCATGCACCCCCCGGCCCCAAACGAAACCAATTTTTTTTTTAAAGTGGCGTCGCAATAAAGGCAGGCACTGCGTACACCACCATCTTTTCCTCCATTGAAAGATTTGGTTAAAGTGGTCAGAAATATAGCCTCAGATCGCACCAAAGAGCATCTAGAATCCCAAAAAAATTCGGGGCCCTTAAAATTAGCGGGCCCCGCACCCCACGCCGTAATTTTTGGGACCCACTTTTCGGGGGACCAAAATTTTTATTTTGCCCCCCCCCCCCAAAAAAAAATGGTGTTCTGGATCCGCCCTTGGGACTGGTCGGAAGTTGTTCTGACTTTTAACATGGAGGTTCTTATTCCTCCATGCTTCTCATCAGTGATCCGAGTTCGAATCCCTGTGAGCGTTTTCACTTCTCATTTTACCTTTTAAATAACTAAAGTGAGAAAGGAACATTTCTCACAAAACGCAAAGTCTATCTTGGGCTTTTGTTGTGGAGAACAAGTTATTAGATATGCATGCAATGGACCAATCAGAGGATGGTAAACGGATGTCGTTTGGGGAAAAAAACGTTTACTGCTCTGTGTTCCGACACCCCTACGTTCCGACACCCCTTATAAATTAGCCCGTCTGCTTTACCCATGGAGCTAAATACATGTAGCTCCATGCTTTACCCAAGTCGATCCGGGCGAGCTACTCGAACGCACCCTCTGCTCTGCATGCCCGGCCCATGCAGCGCGCGCCCTCTATCTGTAGCATGCAACTATGCACGCTGCGTGCTGCTGGCCAAAGATCCAGGATCTTTGATGCTAGATAGCATATCAAGATGTACTTTAAACCCACGCTACTGGCTATAAATAGAAACAAATCCTACATATTCGATTTTCGGTGACAGACGGACCCTTGAGAAAGGACACACGGACCATGGTGGCCATTTTAGAGGGCATCTTTTGTGGAGGAAAACATCAGGACAGTGACAAGTCACGAACTAGTTGTGGGGCAAAACGTAAAAGGGACATGTAGAAGCTAGAAGTCCAAATACGTGTAGTCAGGTGGCTTTGACAAGATCATGACCGACTAAAGCACCAAACCTTGGAGGATAGATTCTTTAAGGCCCTAGGGCCGGGGTGCAGACAAATAAACTGCCATAGACTCCAATGATAAATGCTCCCACTTCAGAAACTCGGGAAAAATACTCACAATTAACTCTCCAAGGTGTTCGATCGAGACCGTCACACATCAAAGTAAAGCTTATTAGGGCCTACATCATCTTTCATTTTCTATTCATTTTCTATTTTTTGGGGTTAAACTGATTTATTTAGGAGAAATGATCACCCCTCAAAATTGTCCTGAAGGCTGAAGCCCATCGCGATTTCGAAAAACGGAGCTTACACCCCATTGCTAATAAATATCAGATCGTTTTTTGTTTTAAGTTGGCCCCAGTTTCATCCAAAATTAACACAAGCTCACAGTGATCCTGTGCTGCACACGGCTTCCACCAATATTTTTTTACAAACCAAGTTCATGGCCCAGGCCCACAATATGATCAAATATTGAAGAATTTGAAGGCATGTAAATCTTGATAGTTTTGCCGGCGTAGGCAATTTTGAACCGATTTACTGGCCTGAAGCGTTTAATTTAGAAGGCCTGGGGTGAATTTCCATAAATCGTTAATACCTGCCGTTTAATTAGTTCCGATCCCATGTGTATATTTTATTTATTTATTTATTTATTCATTTATTTATTTTGAAAGCATATTTTGGTGTTTCTACGTACACATCCATACTCAAGTAACATTTTCTAAAGCATATAAAGTGCGACTGCATAATTATGAGGACATACATAGTTAAGGATTCCAAACTGGTCACCATTATACCCTTAATTAAGTGGCGCGCATAAATTTACCTTGTCTCCAGACAACATCAAGTATTCTTGTCAAACTTCATTGATCAGCTTCAAAATCACTGATTGGCAGAATCCAAAAAGCCCTATTTAGGCGGTTACTCTCGGTGTTTCTTCCCATGCTTTTATCATGGGACTTGGTGCAAGTGTGGCTTAACTGCAGCTCACGCTGGAACCAAAGTTATGGCACTTTCTCTTTGCGGTTTTGCAAACTGTCGCCATTAAGGCGGTTATTCTTGCTGTTTGCATCCATACCCATCAACCAGCCATCCACCCTAACACGAATTGGTAAAAAAAAGTGTAACTCCTCACGAAGACGTTTCGTGTACAATGGAAGAGTCCAAAATGTCCCCATTTAGGTGGTCACTCTCGCTGTTTTGAGATCTAGCCTTCCCATACTTGGTCCAAGTGTGGTTTAACTGCAGTCCACGCTGGAACCAAGGTAATGGCACTTTCTCTTGTAGGTTTCGCTCGCGTATTTACTGTACAATGGAAGATGCCAAAATGTCCCCATTTAGGTGGTTACTCTCGCGAATCTAGCCTTCCCATACTTTTATCGTGAGACTTGGTCTAAGGGGGTGGGGTGGTTTAACGGCAGTGCATGCTGGAACAAAGGTTATAGCACTTTCTCGTCGCGGTTTCGCGTGCGTATCTACTGTACAATGGAATATTCCAAAATGTCCCCATTTAGGTGGTTACTCTCGCTGTTTTGGGATCTAGCCTTCCCATGCTTTTATCGTGGGACTTGGTCCAAGGGTGGTTTAACAGCAGTACACGCTGGAACCAAGGTTACGGCACTTTCTCGTCGCGGTTTCGCGTGCGTATCTACTGTACAATGGAATATTCCAAATGTCCCCATTTAGGTGGTTACTCTCGCTGTTTTGAGAATCTATCCTTCCCATACTTTTATCGTGGGACTTGGTCCAAGGGTGGTTTAACGGCGTCCACGCTGGAACCAAGGTTATGGCACTTTCTCGTTGCGGTTTCGCGTGCGTATCTACTGCAACCTCGTCCCCAGGGTGTCGAGCAGTACGCGCCCACCACTACCTGCTCTCTCACCCTGGTATTGGATCATTTGCATGTGCAAGATTTTTGCACACGTATGCAAATGAGGAACAGTCTGGTGCCTGGATATGCTTTACACATTAGCGTTTGTTTTTGTATGCGGTGTCTGGGGTAAAAACAGAGTCAATTCGTAGCAGCGCGAGCACGGCGTGAGTTACGAAAATACGATTTTTGAAATCAAACTGTTATCCAGACAACATGCAGTATCATATTTCATATTAATATGAGCAAATTAGAAAGGAAATTAGTATTTTCGAGAAGGCGTGGACGAATGATCGCGAAAACACGTACTGCACGTTGTGAATAATAGCACCAAGTACACGATAAAAATCCATTACTAGCCAATTGCGGTATCCAATCAGGATACAGGAAGAAAGTTTCCTATCCAGGGTTTACTATTGGAAACCGTGTTGGAAATAAAGTAAGCACTGGGGACGAGGTTGTATCTACTGTACAATGGAAAATTCCAAAATGTCCCCATTTAGGTGGTTACTCTCGCTGTTTTGAGATCTAGCCTTCTCATGCTTTTATCGTGAGACTTGGTCCAAGGTGGTTTAACTGCGGTCCACGCCGGAACCAAGGTTATAACGCCATTTAGGTGGTAACTACTTCGCTGTTTCCAAATTCCATCCATGCTTCTTCTACGAATTGACCTCAATGGCTTATTTGTACAACGGCGGAGTGACGAATGAGGCCATTGAGGCGGTTTTCCCCCTCATTTGAGCAGGAACTTTTCCCATTCTTCGCTGTGACGAATTTGTCATTTCATGCTACTTCGCTTCGCTCATACGCATGAAAAACAGTTTAGTTTAATACGCCAACACAGCAATTCAAGGCAAGATACGCAATTGTTTGATAATTCTTGATAATACTATTTTATTCAGACAGCATGGGATGTCAGGTTTACATGCACAATGATGCGTAACAAGTACTTGTTAACAAAAATAGATTTAAGTAAAACAGTAACCAAGAAGTTGCTTCATACCACTTTTTACATATTAATCCATAGCCACATTGGCTGCACTGGGCAACTGCCCAACCTTGGCCATCTCGGCCCTTCAGGTTTTCTGCCTGGAAACATCATACTGATATTAAAAGAAAACGGAAAACAACCTTTTTTTTTTTTTTTTTTTTTTTTTTTTATTTGTCATACATATTACATGTCAACTGCCATATCTATTCTCACTCTTGCTCAAGTCCATTATACATATTAAGCCTTCTTATACATTCCTACGTGCCACTTGGCATAATTTTTTTTTTTTTTTTTTTTTTTACTCAGTTATAGACAGCTTTTGACACTTGAAGACGTGTGGTTAAGTCTCTCTTAATGTATCGATTCTTTGCCGTAGTGGTCTTCCACCGGCCATGTTGCATTATAAGCTCCTCTGGAATTTTGTTGTTAGCTAAGCGAGTGGCCCCTCCTGACCGCAAACTATGAAGGCCAAAACGTTTCACATCTTCAACTCCGATTGCTTTAAGTGCATCAAAAAACAACTCTCTTGATCTTGTGTAACTAAGGGGTTTGTTTTGGGTACGCTTGTAAGAATTGGAGGCAGAACAGAATGTAAGAGGAGTAAAAATGAACTGATCGTCACCTATACTGATCCCTAGCTGTTTCATAAATCTTGTCAGAATAACATATGGGGAATAGAAACTCTGTGAGGTGGGAAGAAATGCTACATTGCCCTCTCTGAAAATGTCGGTTTTAGACTTTGGAATAACAATTTTAATACCTTGTGCGTCTGGTAGAGGAGTAATGTGATTGGCTTTGATTTCAGCAATCTCATTGTGCCTAAACAAAAGGGCAAACTTCAATGACACATAGCAGGCTGTTCTGAGTTGCATGAGTGAGCAATCATCTCCGGCAAATTTATCCACAATTTGGTTGAGTTGAACTAGAGACAACGGATCTTTCTGAACCGGAGGGTGATGTAGACGTTTCCTAAAACTGATCAGGAGTTGCTGAACAATAGGTGAATCTATAGGATTGTTCTTGATGTTCATTAATGAATGGAGCCATTTAATGGCAGAAGCAGTTGTCGTCATTACACTATCAGATCGTGATGTTGAATTGGTATGGGATAAATAAGCTGCCACAATTCCCTCGCTTACAGGGAAAGACATGGGGATTTTGCATTGAACCAACCATTTAATGAATTGGCGGCACTTATAAAAGTAAGAATTGCAAGACCCAACCGATTTTGCTGCGATAGCTTCATGCAACAACTGCTCCTTGGATCCTGAGACTACGGGCGGAGAGTCTGCCCAAAATGGTTGCTCCAGAATGATCTGTACAAAAAATATATATACAAAACAGTGTGAGTGAAAATATATAGAAAATAGATTAGCTTCAAAGCCTTAAGAAAATTCTATCTTGACTGCAGCCATCATGCTTTTGAACTCTGAGGAACCTAGCAGGGAATTGGTATTTCGTCCGTAAACTAGGGCCATTTGCCCGGGCATAGTGAAAATGTCGAAAATATTGGGTCTATATATTGTCCAAAGCAAAGGCCAGAAAGGGTTAGAGGGCCACCATGGGAATACAAGCACCCCTGTTCCATGACAGGATTGCAAATGAGATAGTACAGACGGAATCAAAGATACAGGTGGGACTAAGAGTGCATTCTCTGCCGACCAATCTTGGGCAAAAGCATCAACGGCTTGTGTACCAGGGTTCCAAAATCTGGAAAAAAAACGAGGCAATTTTGCATTGTAGTAAGTGGCAAAGCAGTCTATTGTGAACGGACCCCACTTGGCATTGATTGCTTCGAAGAACTCTGCCGATAGGCCCCAGTCATCTACATCTATCAATTTGCTGATGTAGTCGGCTTGATCGTTGAGGGAACGAGGGATCCAGTCAACTTCTAGTCGGATTCTATTCTTCAGACAAAATTCAAAAATGTTGTAAGCCAAATCTTGGAGGTGGCATTTCATACTCCCTGCTTCGATAATCTTGGCAGCTGCCTGATTGTCTGTAAACAGTTTTGCTCTTGAATTTGAGATGAACGGCACAAAGGAGTGAAGGGCAAACAGAATGGTTTCAAGTTCCCGCCAAGTCGAACTCTGTGTCATATCTTCAAAGGTCAAGTTTTTGTGTGCCACGTGGTTATCATTGCATAGGATAGCACCCGAACCCACGGAACTAGCATCTGAACATATTATCTTGTTGACCTTAGGGGAGACAAAAACATCTCTGTTATTCAAGCGACTAGAGTTTTCTTGCCAAAATTGTATTTCCTTCAGACATTGCGCATTGGGAGAGACTATTGTATTTTCGTCTTTATGTAGCGCAATCAGAGACTGACAGTTTTGCGTCATCAGCCTGGTCACATTGCCTACAACAGGCGAAAGGGAGATTATTTGTCCAACGAAGGAATGGAGATCCCTAACTCTACAACTGGGAGATTGACGCAGTGAAAGAATGGAAGCAAGAATCTTGTTTATTCTACGATCTAGAACTTTGAGGGTACCCGACCGCGAATCCCATGTCATGCCCAACCAAACGATGGAGGTGACAGGACACCAAATGCTTTTGCTGATGTTGTAAATGAAACCTGCGTTCAGTAAATCTGATTTAACATGAGCTGAAACCTCAGTGGCTAATTTTACGTGTGCGTCGTGACCAAGGTTAGATTGGGGTACCACCACAAACCCATCGTCTAAGTACAGGGCGATTAGGATGCCACAAGAGCGCCAATGAGTGACCAGTGGTTTGAGGACTTTAGTGAATATCCAAGGGGCCGAAGAGAGGCCAAATGGTAAGACAGTAAACTGAAAATACCTTTGTACGCCCTCAATAGGCCAAGAAAAGCCCAAAAACTTGTGGTACTGTGGATCAATTTCTACGTGGTGATAGCCAGATTTTAAGTCAAATGAGAACAACAAGGCATTTGATTGAAAATACTGAATTGCAATCTTCCAGTCATCTATTTTGAAATGGTCTTTCTTAACATAGAAATTCAATTGACTCAAGTCCAAGATAAGTCGTTGTTTGCCAGTGGCCTGACAGACCACAGAAAGGGGGCTAGTGACGTAAGAGGGAGAATTGACCTCCTTGATTCTATTGGAATCCAACAGTTCTAGAATAGAATCGGTAACAAACGAAGAGTATCGAAAGGCTGATACATTGTTAGGGAAAAACATTGAAGGGGGATGTACTAAAAACGCTATTCTGAAACCTTCCTGTATAACAGACATAATCATATTCGGAGCACTTATACGGGACCAGAATTCACTATGTGTTCTTAATCTACCCTTTACTTGAATGCTATCAGACTCCAAGTTAGAATTTTGAACTTCACAAGGTACCTTTATAATATCGGTGAATTTGTCGACACTAGGTTTCAGATTAAGAGGAGGGTGTGCCTCGTGATTCTTTAGACATCTCTGCTGTTGTGGCTGCGATTGAAGGCAGGAATGGCCGATATGACTGTGGGGCTTGGACTGGAATATTCCTGTTGACGTTCCCGGTGAAGTAGGGGTTGAATCTGAACCTTGATCTTTGCTGGTGGAAGCCGTCATTAGCTGCATTGGTGGGGCCAGACTGGAAGGAACACTGCCTCGACCAGTGTCCGGGCATCCCGCAGGTAAAGCAGTTATAGCTTGACAAGCCTGTGAGGAAGAAAGGGGAAAAGAAGAAATACGCCGACAGAAAACAAACTAGACGAAGGGGGAGGGGAGGGCGGGAAAATTTAGGACTAAGTAAGAGCAGCACGGTGTCTAAGCAGCGTTCAGCATCTGTGCATGAGCCTGAAGTGAAGGGCGTTGGCTGGGAGCACGGTTAAATACCGCGTTCACCGTGATTACGTAACAGAGGAATTTTGGTTTACCGTCTTTCTGTGCCAAACAAAACTACATTTTCATGCTACTTCGCTTCGCTCATACGCATGAAAAACAGTTTAGTTTAATACGCCAACACAGCAATTCAAGGCAAGATACGCAATTGTTTGATAATTCTTGATAATACTATTTTATTCAGACAGCATGGGATGTCAGGTTTACATGCACAATGATGCATGTTGAAAAAACAAAGTAAAATGTGTGTACCTCGAAAAAGGCGACGATCAGCAGTGTGTAGCGTATCAGACCCATGATACTGGGAATCTCGTCTCTTGCGCTTGCGGCTCTCGAGGTCCTTCAAAGCCTCTTCCTCGGCGATCTTGACGCTCTTTTGCTGCTCTGCAGACAGGTTGCCAGAGCCTTTCTTATCGAGCTTGGCAACAGTCACCCACCCGGCCTTACTTCCGTCGGCTATACGGATCTTTTTCTTCCGGTCGGCTACCAGCTCCTCTGCTTCTTGAAGAATTTCCAAAGCCGAGTCCGGGTCGGGGTTGTTCACTAGGGCCAACTTTGCTCTGTCCAGAGCAATCTCAAGCTTACCGCAGAACTCGAACTGTTCGGTATTGCCGGGCCTTTCAAGTTCTTTCGCCTCCAGCTTATTTCTCAGCTCTCGGATTGAACTGGACTCCTGCTTCGGTGTCGAAATGGCGTCAAATCTACCGTCAAAGTAGTCTTTGAACTTCTGAAAAATTAAACTTGTATCAGAGGATCGCCCCTCTTCGGTCGACATAGTGTCTTCGTAAATTTAGGACTAAGTAAGAGCAGCACGGTGTCTAAGCAGCGTTCAGCATCTGTGCATGAGCCTGAAGTGAAGGGCGTTGGCTGGGAGCACGGTTAAATACCGCGTTCACCGTGATTACGTAACAGAGGAATTTTGGTTTACCGTCTTTCTGTGCCAAACAAAACTACATTTCTGCGGTTGAGGACAGACGCTGGTTGGACCGAGATTATGGCAGTTTTTCTTGGCTGTTTCGTATCCCCCTCTACCGTACAATGGCGGAATGACAAATGAAGCCATTGAGGTGGTTTCTCTCCCATATTGAGCAGGATTTCCCCATTCTGCACTGTGTGATGAGTGTCTCATTATGTGGCCGAAGACGAACTATAATTGGACCGAAGTTATGGCAGTTTTTCTTGGTTGTTTGGTATGTGCCTCGACTGTACAATGGCGGGATGAAGAATGAAGTCATTGAGGCGGTTTCTCCCTCATTTTGAGCAGGAACTGTTCCCATTCTTCGCTGTGACGAAATGTGTCCATTTTGTGGTTCACAACAAACGCTATTGAACCGAGGTTATGGCAGTTTTTGCAGCACTAGACTGGTTCCCAAACCATTGCCCACTGATCTATAAATGTTGTAATTGCAGGTTACCAGACGTGTAGCTAGCTGCTGCATGCACACAACATCCAAAACACCGCGGCAGGTTTTCAAGCAACAAGGTAGGGTCTTTCGTTACATATTTTACTCTAAATTGTGCACTTAAATAATAGCTATCGTCATGTGTTTGTTTTATAGCAGTTAAAGGGGAGCAACTATAGAATGCAGGGCCACGCCGAAGCAAGGTTTTTTATTTTGCCTGGAGGCGTGGATGAAATAGGAGTAATAGATATGCAAACCTGCAAAAAAGTGCTAAGTACAGCGAAGGAATGCACTGCACTGCTTGTATATGTTTTGGGGGCACTGTCTGGAGCGGCGGAGGCGCGGAGTCTTGGAGTCGCAGAATCCCGGAGACGCGGGGCACTGGAGTGGCCGCAGTGGCGGAGGCGCGGAGTCGCAGAGACTTGCGCCGATAGAGGGCGCAATTCTCGGCGGAATTTTTTTGAGAACGAAGCATCCATATCCATTTTAAATGGGCGCGCAAATTAGGAAGGGAGGAGGGCGACGGGGCACTGTCTGGAGCGGCGGAAGCGCGGAGTCTTGGAGTCGCAGAATCGCTTTAAATGGGCGGGCCAATTAGGAAGGGAGGAGGGCGACGGGGCACTGTCTGGAGCGGCGGAGGCGCGGAGTCTTGGAGTCGCAGAATCGCGGGGCACTATACACTGGAGTGCTAGTGGCGGAGGCGCGGAGTCGCAGAGACGCGCACCGATAGAGGGCGCAATTCTCTGCGTGACGCGGGGCACTATACACTGGTGGCGGAGGCGCGGAGTCGCGGAGTCGCAGAGACACGCACCGATAGAGGGCGCAATTCTCTGCGTGACGCGGGGCACTATACACTGGTGGCGGAGGCGCGGAGTTGTGGAGTCGGAGAGACACGCACCGATAGAGGGCGCAATTCTCTGCGGCTCCACGACTCCACGATCGATTTTCGGAGGTAGGTCGACTGCGGTTCCACGCCTCCACGCAGCCGTACGGAGGCGCGGATGTAGAGTAAAGTGGCCCTGCATTCTATAGTTGTACCGTTAAAGGTTTGTTTAAGAAATAATTGGGCAGAATATGTCCCCTTTTGCCATCCTAATTAATATCCATTCCTGCAACAGCAACAACACACTTGCTGAACTAGCTTGAGTAACTCCAGCTGACATGCTCATAATATATTCATTCACATGTTGTAGAGCTGTGAATGAATATGAGCATGTCAGCTGGAGTTCCTCAAGCTATCGCTGAACATACAAAAAGGAAAAAATTCCGTACTCGGACGTCACTTTTTCCAATACATTTTGAACCCCCAACAGGTTTAAAAAGGGGTGACGTTTATTTTTGGGGGCTAGAGATATGAAAGGGGGTTTAGTGACCTAGGGGGACAGGTTTAAAAAGAAGGGGTTTAAAAGAAGGGGCCCCAATGTCGCGCCCCGGAATAAAAAGCGCCAAAAACTTTTGTCACATATGTTTTCCCCTTCTATTTTACTCCTCTACTCTCATCCCCTTTCTTTCTTTCTTTCTCTCTTCTAATTATCTGTGGATAGAACTTTTGGGAAAAGTTAGTCATTTACTTCACAAGCCATACACACAATCCATGGTTCCTGCTGGACTCGAACCTGTCTGTCTGGGAGAGAAACATATAATAAACACACCAGTCTTATCCGCTCGACTACGAGCAGCTGTTGCCGATGAGAGTTCGTTGGATATATTTAAGGTGTCAGTCGAAATGAGCTAATGAATATTTCAAATTTTAATATTCATGACAAATTAAATATTCATGATGAGGTATTGTCATACCAAAGTTGACCGAAGGGGTAAATCCCCGTTGTATCACGATTGTAGTATCGTATGCGCTGTTGTTATACAACGACAATCAACCTTATTATACTGGATGGCTGAGAACATAGTGTTACATAACTTGAGGACAGTGCATTGTTTTCAAAGCATATAAGGGCTACTGGAAGTTGCAAAAATCATTGGGACATCATGTCTGAGCAAGCCAATAGAAAGTGGAGTTTAGTGCGTTTGACGTGAGAGGTGTTGGTAAGCCCTGCTGCCACTATCGAATTTTGTAAAGAACGGGGATTGATTTCTGCTGCCCCTAAGTGTAGGGCATGCCGAAAGCTGTTAACCTGGTCCGTGAGAGCGGACGGGGGAGACGGTTTTACATGGCTTTACTGACGAAGATCATGCAGAAAACGAGCCGTTTCTAACACTATTCGGCGTGGCAGTTGGTTTGCCGGCAGCCATTTGTCGCTCGACAAGATTCTAGTTTTGACCTACTGCTGGGCCGCACGGATGTCTAACGTCGCAGCAATGCGTGAATCGAGCTACGACGGTGGCACTAGTAGTGAAACCGTTGTGGATTGGTTCACGTACTGCCGCGAAGTATGTCTTCATGTGGTCCAGCAGGCCGGGTCAAAGCAAATCGGTGGCCCAGGTAAGACGGTTGAAATCGACGAATCAAAATTTGGTCGTCGAAAGTATAACCGTGGCCGCATGGTCGAGGGCAAGTGGGTCCTTGGGGGGATTTGCCGTGAGACGAAAGAAACCTTCTTTATCGAGGTAGCCAGTCGCGATTCCGCAACCCTTATTCCTCTCATCAAGGAATATGTGGCTGCGGGATCGACAATCATGACGGATTGCTGGAAATCGTACGACTGCCTCGATAAAGAAGGATTCGAACATCTCACGGTAAACCACTCCCTTAACTTCGTGGACCCTGAGAGTGGAGCCCACACCCAGAACATCGAGAACCAGTGGTGGCAGATCAAGAGGGGCTTGCCCAGCACGCACAACAGTAGAGCCAGTGCGAGCTTTGGCTTTTACCTGGCGGAGTACATGTGGCGCCAGAAGAACGCGGGGCGTGACCCCTTCGAGCAAATCGTCACCGACATCGTGCGGCTTTACAAGCCGCCGGCGACGTTTTAGCAGACGCTCCAGAAGAGCTATTCCAACTTGCTCATTGGCTTACTGCTTCGGCAGCTAAGCCAAACAATAATATAAAGACAGGATTTGGTTCCCTTATCCCCCTGATTTGCTATCAATAACTGAAATATAATGTACACGTCTTCCCCACCCCAACACTAACCCCACACCAACCCCACACCCTATTCTTCTACCCATAACTTAACCTGAAAGTGAAGTACATGTACCAAACAAAATAAACACAAACATTATGCCACTGTATTCCATGTCCATTTTATTATCCTTTCTGTACACACACCGATCGATGTGATATAAATCAGACTCCATGAAAATCAGTTTCCTTTTTTCCCATTTATTGTTGAACTCTCTCACGCGACCAGTCACCTCCTGGTCAACTTTGCCTAGCCATGTGTAATAGTTTTTACAACTGAAATTCAACACAAACCGGCTCACAAATTATGTCGCCAAATTTGTACAAGAGCTCAAACAAAAAGACAGACCAGATGATTGTATGAAGGCGGCTTCATCCTCAACAATCTCTTCTTCAAAGGCAATATATGAGATAACGTGCACGAAGCATGTGTTAAGTATTTGTCATTTAAAATAAGGCGCGGTCAGTTTTATAGCTCCCCTGTCCCTCTGTACTACCTATTCCCTGTATACAAATGGTACAAACACATAATGTTCTTTATTCATGATGTGCACTTGGCTTGTGTGCGCAACGCGAACGCAGCTATCTCTTCAATCAATATGGCAGCCTCCATCCATACGAAGATCTGCACGACGTATGCATCCAAAATGTGCTCTAAAAACACATTTTGAGTAAATTTTTTTCACCTTTACACAGCTTCCTGGATTTCTCTTGGTTCAAATGACAAGGTGAGGTGACAATTAATATGTTTGGCAGCAGATAAATTGACGTCCGAGTACGGAACTTTTCCCTACAAAAAAAATAGCACAAACATTTGGCAATAGAAACATCTCATTTAAAGTAACGGTTCTTGCCAGGTAATGTTATTGATATTATCAAGCTACCTGAAGTTTTGGAGAAAATCAAATTGAAGTGTAAGCACTAATTAATAGCAGGCTAGATAAACTAACGGGCTTTCTTTCATAAAACGATATTTAGCCAGCAAGATTGTACAGCGCCGTGTTTGACGCATATGATATTTAACCGCATTTGCTATTCCGCTCGTACCCCCCACCCTGCAAACAGGATGCTGGGAAGGGCTGATGAATTTACGCTCTGATTGGATAGATTTTGCGTGACCTGTGACCTGCAAGTCATCACAGCCACAACCCTGCGAGGTTTTAAACGGCCGTTAGGTTAAAAAAAAAATTCCAAATATAAAAATGGGTGTGCGTGCGCGGCATATATATACGTACACTGTACAGGGCCTATAGGGTAAGGTGCAGAAGGAAGCAGTGCTTTTAAGTGTGGTTTAAAACCACCCACGTGATGGACTCTCAACCAATAGGAATTGGTTAACTGCCTCAAGTATTTTTATGAATGAAATATTGGGGTTACATTTTATTCTGCACTATTTTATGTCAGACATCTTTTACTTGGTCCTTTTTTCTAGATAGGGTATCCCAGTTCTTGCAACATCAAGATGCCACTGCCAGCAGCACTAGCAGCACGACTAAAGAAAAGAGGAATTATACAGGACAACACCACCCCACAAGGTTAGCCCCCCCCCCCACCCCCACATCCCCTCCCCCCCCCCCCCCTGGTCCTGGTGCCAGTTTATACTTGGTGTGAACACGAACGTGTATTTGTTACGTAGGACAAGTTTTTGCACTGCAAATTTGCAAAAATTGAACACTTTTAAACTCTGATGAATTTTGCATCATATTCACATTTGCATGAAGTATGAACCTGCCTTTAGGGAAGTAAAATTTGCAGCAAAAAAAAAAATGTGTAAGGGTCTAAAATGCACGTGCAAGACCATACACCCTGTACCATAACATTAATCCTCCCAGTGGGAAGTCAATATTCGGAGTAATATCTCTCAAAATATCTCAAAAGAGATGTTGTCTCAAGGTGCTGCAAACTGACTGTCATGTCTAGCTTTGGTCAATGCGTTCATTATTAGTCGTCCGTACGCAGTAAACGATCGGCGGCATATCCTCGCTATGCAGTGCATTTAAAATACAGCGCGAACAGTGACCTCATGTGGCCACTATTTTATGCAAATCATTTAGATCCAGACGATGGCCTAGGTCCAATCTTCCGTGAAAGCTTATGTTTTTCTTTATTTTGCACTAGATTTCCAGCGCACGACCTCATATGCGAATACAGATAAGTGTAGGCGGGGCTTATATGTGAAGTGTCCAATCACACCGTGGTAAATCTCAACGTCATCAACTCATTTGCAGCTATTCGCCCCTTTGCGGACGTGTCAGAAACCACATTTCTCTGAGCATTGGTGCTGTGTGTAGTGTGAGACATCGACACACAATGTATACATGCAAGTTTCCACGCAACGATCGACCAATAAGAAAACAACTTTTAAGGTCAGCTTATAGGCTATTAGCATAATGAGCACCACCCCCAAAACCTCACATGGACGATTGGACCAAGGCGGTCGTCTGAATCCAAATGATTTGCATAAAATAGTGGCCGCATGAGGTCACTATGCCGCCGATCGTTTACCGCGTACATACGAATAATGACAAAGGCCTTGACCAAGGTTATGTCATGTGAAACCTTTCACCCTAGAAATCTTTAAATCTCACAGCACTCAACTGTTATAAGGGGCCATTCAGAATTTTCAATGTTTTAAAATTTCGATCTTTTTTCCAAATTGTGGGTGGGTGGGTCAAGCTAAATAATTGAAAATCGAAATTCACTTTCCATGGAAAAAAGATAAAAAAACCAAAGAAAGATAGATCTTTTGACTTGCCTGAACTACACGCGAGCGTTCCGATATCGCGATGCGTGTTTCTTTCCCAACTTCGTCCCCTGTATGTACTGTACATGAACGTCATGTACGTGTATATAGACCCACTGTGACATGAGAGGGAGGTGGTTTTTCAGTAGACTTCATGGACTTGGACGCCGGGTGTTTGTAGCGGCTAGGCCGTGCAGAGGCATGCAGCAGGGTACCAGGTGTACTAGATCGGCTCTATAACACGCCGCGGGCGTCGATTACCAATCGCTATAAAAAATGGACTATTCAACCACTGGACTCCAAGACTACGAGGACCGCAGCCTGTGATGTGTAGTCTGGTTCCCAGACCAAAAGATTCCGACTTTTCCTGATGAATCTTAAGTCAGGTAGCCTCCGGTAATACAATGTATTACAATTTACATCACGTGACTAAAACGGGAGGAATTCCTCCTTTTTCCGAAACTGTCCGAAGTTTGCCGAATTCATTTCGTCGACAATCGGATAGTGTCCGAGTATTTCCGAGTATAATATAGGTTTTATTAACTGCTAATTGCTTATTAAAAACTTTAAAAAACTAGTTGATAATTAATATCCATTGCTTTTATTTAGAAAACTTGAAATTCAACGGCGATTTTGCACTCGGATCGTATACGAGGGGCGAACTTTTTGCTGCGTCATGCACTAGTTTGAATTTGACGACCGTTACCGGCATTTTCCAAAACGCGGCGTGGTCTCAATTTGGCTCCGCCTGCTAACAGTGCTGTTTGGGTGTCCAACTTTGAAGATTCCAGGTTAAAATTAGTCAATGTTTTTTTACAGAAGTATTAAACTGTATATCATAACTGTATGATATATGAAGCAAGTGATTTATTTTTAAAAAATTATCGGAACATTAAAAGCTTTGTGTGATAAAGCGAATTCGGAAACGAAGTCGAGCTTTGAAAAAGGGCCGTCAATGTCGTCATGTTTATTTTTAGCCACGGAGGCTGCCTGACCTACAATTTAGACGTGTAGACGTCGGGGGAAATTGTCAGGTCGGGGAACCAGACTATGTGATGTGATGTCTGCCCAAACCACTGAACTAGACACACATGTACATGGGTACATGGTCATGTTCAAGTATATGTACATGCAAATGCATGTACATGTACATGTTCAGTTTTTTATTAATCGAAATCAGGGGTGGGTGGGTGGGTCAAAATAATTTGGAAAAAAAGTCAAAATTTTAAAACATTGAAAATTCTGAATGGCCCCTAAGGTATAAATTATTGAAATTTCTTTTATGTCACAGACCCCCATGAGGAAATCCTAGCTCAAGACTATTCGGATGACGTATCCTCACAGCAGAAAGCGCCCTCGGGTGGTGAGGATACAGTGGTGGCCCCAACAGCCGGGGAGAACCTTCCACAGGGCTGGTTTAAGGTCAAAGATCATGTGAGGTATGTACCGGTACCAGTCTATGGGCTCCTGTGAGCCAACAAGAGAGGGCGCTTTTGGACCATTTTTGAGAGCCTTGTAGATACGACACTCCGCCTGCGCTTACTGGTTTGTGCGTGCATAGTGCATAGTACGCATGACTAACATTATTCTGAGTGTGCACAGAGCAATAGCTTCTGTGGGTGAGCATCAAGTGCCTTGAGCAATACAGGGTGAGTAAAAAAAAACGAAACCCAAATGTCGGGACCATTGTTTAGTGAAGTTCAGCATGTAGCACTTTCAAAATCTAGGATATAAAAGCCCCATTCATAAGCTTTCTTGTAGTACAAGAATCATTCAAATCACTCATGTACTTTTCAAGTTACGGAATTGTAAACACAACCACCGTTTTAAGGTTCTGTCCACGGAGCACAAAAAAGTTCAGTGTTCTTTCAGCAAAATGAAAACAAATCACATTGGGATGTGTGTGAATTTTTTTTGTTTTGCTGGAAGAACGCACACCTTTTTTGTGCTCCGTGGACAGAACTTTAAAACTGTGGTTGTGTTTTAAATTCCGTAACTTGAAAAGTACATGAGTGATTTGAATTATTCTTGTACCAAAAGAAAGCTTTTGAATTGGGCTTTCATATCCTAGATTTTGAAACGGCTACATGCATAACTTCAATAAAACAATGGTCCAGACATTTGGGTTTCTTTTTTTTTACTCACCCTGTATATTCGAATGTCTCTGCCAGCAGTACCCCCAACTCTCACTCCCTTACCACAAGAGTTCTAGTCGGGTGTTCACAAATCCTCACAAGTTCATCACAAGTCGTCACAAGTCAGTCACTAGCACAAGTCATCACAAGTTGATCGTTACTGAAGCGGTCACAAGTCAGTCACAAGCCATCCAAACTCAAGCCAGTCACAGTCATCCAAGTCAAGCACAAGTCACTCACTAGTCTGTCTGCAACTCTGTCACAAGTCATGGCAGATCATCACTAGTCATCACAGGTTATCTTGAAGCCAGAGTCCATCATTTGCAGCTATCCAAAAAGTAACTGGCTTAATTATTGTTGAAAAACATACTTGGTTGAAAGATAGTAAGGGGACTCCCTATGAAATTATTCTTTCTGGCAAGCTGTCACTTTGAAGAAATCAACAAAAGAAGGCCTTTCCAACGGTTTCTTAGGAGGCACTGTAGGAAATTCAAATTAGTAGTTCGTTTTGTTATTCGGGGAAGCGCGCGCAAGTGTTGGCATGACGCTTGCACACGCGCGGTTTCTGTAATTCGTTGGATCAGTGCGCGACATCTCGTAGCTGCAATCGGCTAGTGAGAACGTGTTTCGGACGCTGAATTCAGGCCCAACTCAAAACATGATTCAGCAACTTTTGATTTGAAATCGAGATCCCAGAATGTTGTTTTTCTCGAAATATACAGCTAAAGCTGAGCTGAAACTTCAGCATGTTAGTTGTTCAGCACCCTTCTTTAGATCTTGAGCACTTTTATTGCTTCAAACGAACAAAATGCACAAATTACAAATGATGGACTATACCTTTAAGTCCATCACAAGTCAATCAGGCTCAAGTCAGTCGTGTCACAAACTTATCAAAGTAACTGCGACAAAGGCTTTCCGGTGTTACTAATCATCCCTAGCTGGTACTTGTAACCTGACTTGTGATGGACTTTACAAATCTGCAGTCCATGTCTTTGTACCTCAGCTTTCAGAAATGCAGGGATTATTTCCAGTCAACTCAAGATGTGAAATGTGGTAACAGGGTGGTGTTTACAAAAAGTCTTGGTTTCTGTCCTCCAATGTGAACAGAAGAATTTCAAATTTCATTTTGCCACCAAATGTATGTCTTGGAGAGGCCACTTTGAAATGCACATATAGAATCCTTTGCTTTTTTGGGGGGGGGGGGTTCTAATACTAACTCATTTTAAGATCCAGAGTAGAATGTTCAAAACCTAACCTGTTGAAGTTTCAGCTCAGTGGAAATTACACTTTTCGAGAAAACAGTGATAAAGCATGCACAACATTTTGATTTTGAATCTGAAACATGATTTCGTTGATAGCACTGTTTATTCTAATAGTCAGTCAATTGAGTGATTATTGGAAATCACCAACATTTCTTGATTACTGACAGCAAGGCACACGGAATAATTTCACCGGGTGTTTAGTACCAATACCATCTTTAATCTTTTTTAAAAATAACTCGGTAGTTTACTTTTGGGGTAAATGCAAATGATCTTTTGTGCCCAAACTTCACAGTCTGCTTCCTGGATTAAACAACTGTTCACACTAAAAAATCATATGTTAACCTAAGGACAGGTGTAGTTTGCATTTGCCATGGAATGCTCTATATTAACATTGTTACTCAGATAGTTCACATATCAGTCTTTTTCAAACTTCATGCATGTTTTTAGACTTAAGCCCGATTCATTCTTCACAGGAATGCGAATGCAAAGCAAATTTGACATTAACCCTAACCCACCTCACTCCTCCAAAATCCTCCTGGCGGTTTTGGAGGATTCTAGAGGATTGAGGATGAATGGTGATTGAATCAAATGAGGATTCTGGAGGATTGAGGATGAATGGTGATTGAAGCACATGAGGATTTTGGAGGATTGAGGATGAATGGTGAATGAAGCACAAGAGGATTTTGGAGGATTGAGGATGAATGCATTTTGAGGCAGGACTGTCTGATGATTTTGAAGGATTTGGCGTTGGTTATCCTTCATTTAAACACGAGTGCAAAGTTTTGGGATGAGGAGGATTTTGGAGGATTGAGGATGAATGCATTTTGTGGCAGGACTGTCTGACAATTTTGAAAAATTTAGGCGGAGTTGAAAAATTTTGGAGGATTTTGGAGGATTGAGGATGGTTGTAAGCAACAAGGGCCTAGGGGGTTAGGGTTAAGGCCAAAAAAAAATCTCCGGTTTCTGGTATGCGCGCGCGTCGCCGTAGCCATGCACATCGGCAAAATGACAAAGTTTTTTTTTTCAATGTAAGATGATGTCTCAAAACCGCCAAACTCACTGATTTGACTGGAATCCTGCTGCTGCACAATTTTAACGTGTTTTAGATAGGGTTACAATCGAGTTTAAGCTTTATGTGGCCTTTCTGGACTCCCATATATTTTGCACTAAATTTAGTCTGGCACCATTTGCAGTCATCAGCCGACATTTGAAGGAAGAAAAAAAAAAAGAAAAAAAAAGGCCGCGTCGCCATACCAGAAACCGGAGACTTTTTTTTTGGCCTAAGAAACACTTGCTGCGAAATTTGCCAGAGTTGAAATGTGTTCAACTTTTGCAAATTTGCAGTGCAAATACTTCATGTCATAAACTTGCATTTGCGTTTGACATTGTGTGGCCAATAACTTCATATATTTTCTGAATGATTTGTTTCTGTCTTGCAGTGGTTATTACTATTACTGGGATGCAGACAAAGACTTGGTGTCATGGCTGTCCCCAGTTGGTAAGTCAGAGGCCAGTGAGTCCCTGTTGAGCTTAAAATCACGTGCTGTCATTATTTTATAGTCTCTTCTGAGTTAATGTGAGGTCTTTTCATTAACAACTCATTGATTTTGTATCAAATGATGACAGCTTTCTCTGTCTTTCAAAGAAGTAAGTGGCTCACGATCAGATTGCTTTATTCATGGCTCGAAATAGGTATTGGCAGGGCAAAAACAACCCCCTATATGATATAAACCTTTTTTCTGTAAAGATATTCCTCCAAAACGTAAGACCTTATGTGGATATCCTTAGACCCGGACCTTTGAAACGGGATATATAAACAATTGACAACACTAGATTTTTGAGATCTGTGGGTCAATTTCACCTTTAATATTAATGAAAACCACACAAATCCCCCTCTTTTTACAACGATACTCAGACCCCAAGGCCCAGATCTCTCTGCCGGCTGCCAAGTTGCAAGAAGTCCAGGACCGCAAGGCCATGACACAGCCGCAGCCCCAACCCCAGCCCCTACCGCCCGGCACGGAAGTCAGAAGTGCGGACGAAATAAGGCACGAGAGGCCCACGGTGAGATCAGACACATTCTTTCCTATCACTAAGGGCCCGTCTCCATTCACATCCGGGACGAGTTCCGAACAAGTTGTGGGTAAAATCATTCGAGAAGCTCTGCATTTGTCCCGGGACTGTTGCGAGGAAATTTTCATTAGCAACTGCTTGACTCACCAATACTGATAACTTCACTGCGGGAAGATTGTGGGGAAGTTGTTCAGAATACTACAACTTATACCCACTTCAATGTTTGGAACTCATCCCAGATATGAATCGAGGCAGGCCCTAATGTAAAATCTCAAACATGTCAATGCCATGTGTGGAGATTTGGGACAGAATATTTTGAGCGCCCTTACATCATCAGAGTGCAAGTCATATGCTACAAGTTCTTTTATTAAAAAATAATGAGTCATGAAATCTCTACAGGGATAAGCATAGTAATTGTTTTGGTAACTCACGTTTGTCCACCCATCTTTGGTGCAAGTTACAACATACAAGAAACTAAAATTCAAACACAAATCTATTTTCACATAAAATATGAACTTTTGTCTCTGCCTTTAAAACAAAAACTCAAAATAACACTTGCATTTTGCATGTAAAAACAAGGTGCCAAAATGACTACCTAAACTCCATACTTTTGGGCCAAACAAAGTTTTTGGACAAAAAAAAACACTTAACCATATTCCATCTCACTGCCACATCACTCAAATGAAAGGTCTTGTTGTCCCCTTTAATTTGATACCACAATTGAGGTTGTAATGTTTGCAGTTTCTAAGATTTCATAAATTTCCCATTTTTCAACCATGTCCACATTCTCAAGGAATTGCCCATACGATGAAACATACTTGAAACAAGCACCCAAGAGTCGGATGGACTCTTGTTCAATATGGTAGAAAAAGTCCAGAAAATACAGCTACACTGCGAAGGGCAAAACCAAATATTGAAATTTGGGTCTTCTTAATGTAAATTTCACCTTCAAAGGTGGTGACAACAGTACCCACTGCTCATAAGCTGCTTTCGGCAAGCTTGGTTGTCGAGTGGTAAGATGCCTGCATTAGCAAACAGGAGGTAGTGGATCCCACCCGAAAAAGCTTTGGACTTTTTATTGCTCTAGGACAGCAGTGAATATGCGAACAAACTAGAAGCCATTGATGAGGTGGAACCATGTTCGTGCACATGCCGCACGCGTTCTTAAAGACAAGGCGTGCATGCATTTGGTAGCCCTATTGGTCAACGGAGCCCGGAATGCGTGCGTAATACTTGAGCGCGACTCACACGAGCCTGGTGCCACCTCAGAAAATCTCAGTCACCGAATAAGTGTATACAGTGGAGGGCGTAACCCAATACTGAAATGAGTATACTTCTCCATATCTCCAGATTGGCCAGATTGGCCCGATCGGTCCAGTGCGGCCGGGAGCTGAGCCCAAAAGACACGCAGAGAGACCTTCACCCTACCAGAAACCACAACGAGAAGACAGAGGTTGGTAGACTCGGGAAGTGTAGCAAAAATCAAGTCACTCACAAGTCTGTTGACAGGTATTTGATTGAGGAACCATGACAAACGAATGCCGTTGTCACAGTGTATTTGGGCAGCTACAACATTTGCAAACATCAAAGAATAAAACCACCAAATGATTATGAAATACCTTACTGGACTGTTAGTGAGTGACAGTTTAAGTATCCTGTGAAATCAGAGCACCTGGTGTGCTGACATTTTCAATAAAATTTGCATTTTTGTATCAATTTGGCCGACCAGCGTTTTTGTCAAATACTGTTCCCGATTTACCATATTTAGTTAGTTTGCATTTTGTTTGCAATCGATTACACTCCTGTGAATGGGTACAAGCCAGCTAGACTGGTTCCGTGGCCATACAATTTTCCGACGTCTAAAAATTGTGTGTGCGTAATCTCCAGCCACAGCCCAGTAATTCCGACACAGCCTGAGTGAAGTCTGTCACGAGCCAATGTGGCCCATCAGGTCGGTGTTTATCTCCGGTTTCAGTAGCATCAAACGACTGGGGAAAATTTTGCACTCCCCCTGGATGGGATGCGATTCCATCGCAGGTTTCTCCCCAGCCAATGCCAGTACCCATTTATACTCCTGGGTGGAGAGAGGCAAGTGAGGGTGAAGTGGCTTGCCCAAGGACACAACATATGGCCAGCAGCTGGATTCGAACCCCTGACACTCTGATCATGAGTCAGTCACAAACCCTAACCACTAGGCCACACTCCCCACCCCCTATTAGTATTTACGAAAAGAAAAAAAATTAACAAGGGTTTAAAATCAGTTTCCCCTTTGTAACTTATCCACCTTGGGTCATTCAAGTTGATTGCCTGTTTAGATTTTTGAAGCACGTTATGAAACTGCTTCCAAATTACATGGCTACGGCTTGCAATGACACATGCCTCTATGGAAGCCGCTGAAGCCACTTACCATAGACCCTTGTGTTACTGTTAGCCGTAGCCATGTAGTTTGGAGGCTGCCTTAGTTTAATTTCAATGAGCCACTGTCCTGATTGTGATGACCTTTCCATATCCATGTCTCTATAGATTCACACAGGCAACGGAGGAAGAAAGACGATGAGCTTGATCCCATGGACCCCAGTGCCTACTCTGACACACCAAGGTACAACTTCATACCAATCAGAATCATCAAGTGGTGGAGTGCCATGGCCTGTTGGTCTGGAGCATTGAACTCGTGGTCTGCAACTAATAGACCATTATCATCTTACGGCCATTTGGATTTTTCCCATTCAAATCAATGTAACCAAAGCGAAGCTGGAAGGAAAAATATTCTGGTTCCTTTTTGCACAAAACAATGCAGTATCATTCTGTACTGTTATTGGATACAGGGAACATGAGTGAAACGGAGGCAGCATGATAAAGGTCTGTTCTGCAGGCTGTGGGTTTGAGTCTAGCCTGGGGTAATGATGTGCGCAAGCCCTTGGGCAAGGCACTTTGTCACTCATTGCTTCTCCCCACCCAGGAGCAAATTGGGTACCTGTGAGGGCAGAGATGGTTATTGTGATTGATTTTGGCTGCTTTGCGCCAAAATGGCAGCATCGAGCTGTATACTCCTCAGGGAGCTGAAAATGTCTTTAGATTATCTTGTTGGCTCAGTTAGCTGGGGCAAAAATGATGTAGTGACTCGAGCAACAAAACTGGTAGAGACGTGCGCTTTTTAAATACATGTTCACATTATTTTGAGTATTATTAGATATCAACCTTTGTCTTTTATTTGTTGTCAAGCACATTTGTAGCTATGTATGCAATTTCAAAATCTAGTAGAAAGGGTGACGGCTCCTTTGGACACAAAAGCATCAGCAAAAGAGTTGAGAAAAAGGAAAAATCCATCTTGGAAAATCCTCCATTTGGGAGAACAAAAAGGGCCGCCTTCTTTCTTTTTTCAAAAAGCCTGGACGAAAAATTGTTTTTTTTAATTGGCCTATCTCTGCTGAAACAGTTGTGTGACACAAATAAAGAAGTTAGTTTTATTTCTTTCAATTTGGAAAAAGAGAAAATTACTTTTGGAAATTAGGAATATATTAATCAAGGATGACTTTTGTTTCGCTCTCTCAGAGATGAGAAACAAGTTTCTTTTATCGAAGGCCTAATGGACTGTTCCATTTTGTGTTTCAGGGGTAACTGGTCCTCCGGTCTTCCCAAGACGAATGAAGCCAAAACGGGAGTGGACACCACAGCGAACGGACCTTTGTTTCAGATGCGGCCCTACCCCAACCCAGGTGCAGTCTTACGAGCAAACGCAGGGAAGAACCCAGGAAATTAAGCTCATGAATCAGCCACAGATATTTGTCTTTTTGTGTTGTTATTTATATGGCATACCAGATGACTGTTCCATGTGTGATTCCGATTCAAAGCTGCAAGGTTATCATGAAACAGCCACTGTATTTTTTGTGAGTCTTTTACCCATATATTTTAGCTAGCCATATTTGGCTGTCCAAACATGAAACAGCTACGGATATTCGTCAAGTTTTGTTGTATGGCATGCCAGATGACTGTTTCATGTATGTTTCCGATTCAAAGGTGCAAGAGGTTACCATGATAAAGCCAATGTATTTTTGTGTCCAATGTTTCTTTTACCCAAACATTTTTAGCTAAGTGTATTTGGGTGTCCAGGAGGTTGTGTTGTGGTTTATCAGAGCTGTACTAAGCAGGATATGTCACTCAGAAAATGTATGTGCCAAGAAAAGAATCCGTTTATATAGTAATTTTTGTGCCAGCAGTAAAATTGTATGGCATTTTGGAGGATATGCGTTTGATCAGCAATTAGGCCCAAAAAAAAAAGTCTCCGGTTTCTGGTATGCGCGCGCGTCGCCGTAGCCATGCGCGTCGGCAAAATGAAACAGTTTTTTTTTCAATGAAAGATGATGTCTCAAAACCGCCAAACTCACTGGTTTGATTGGAATTCTGTTGCTGCGCAATTTCAACGTGTTTTTAGATGGGGTTATGATCGAGAATAAGCTTTATGTGGCCTCTCTGGACTCCCATATATTTGCACTATGTTTAGTCGGGCACCATTTGCAGTCATCAGCCGACATTTGAAGCAAAAAAGTCGGGTAAAAAAAAAAAAAAAAGCCGCGTCGCCGCACCACTTTTTGGACAAGCTCCATACCAGAAACCGGAGACTTTTTTTTTTTGGCCTTATGTAACCGACATACAGATCCTTGTCATTTGATTGGTGGAACTCAGATCACATGACATTCGTTATTGCTCCCATTCACGCCGGGGCTCTGGTGTGCACGTTCTAAAGAGCCAGCGCTACAGAGTTGGGTTCAAATATTTTCGTAAAGGGGTGGTTTGGAAGAGAAAAATAAGTTCACCAATTTTGTATTGAAATAAAAGTTCAAATACATCAAACGACAAGGATCTATATGTCAGTTATATAAAACAAATACTGAGTGGCTTTAAATTGTGAAATGGGAGGAATACTATCGCTCGGTAAAATCTGGACTTTTCCAGTTCACTCGGCTTTAATTCGCCTCGTGAAATAAAAAAGTCCAAATTTTACCTAGCGATAATATTCCTCCCATTTCACTCTGAGCCACTCAATATTTGTATAATATAGTCCATACTAAGCAAAACTGCTTATAAAATTTCTATGAGCATCTACCTGAAATTAGCACCTTTAGGGAGGCTTAACCAAAGTGATCCCAGCAATTAGTCCAAAACTCTTTGTTACATTCATTTTTAGCATTCGATAAGCTCTCCCGGGTCGACTCGGGTTAGCCCCATGCCATTCTATTAACTCTGGTGTCATTCTCGGGGTCACCAGGGTCAGCCATCACACACCCTGCTTGTAAGGCGGAGTCAGTGATGAAATATGTCACACACGTGCGATGTTCATTCAAAGAAATCGAACTTATCCCGTTATGTGTTAGTAATTATATGAGCCGTTCCACTGGGTAATCATTTTGTGTGTTGTCAGATATGTAGTGAATGTGCCGAGAAAAAAAACCCTAAAAAAAACCCATAAATTTTACAATTATTCCATGTTCTGTTTTAATGTTGAATTTTCACAACAATTATTGTCCCCTGAACACTTTCCTCTGTTAAAGCAATTCGAAAATATGCAGGTAGGCAATTCCACAGCTACTCACGTTACATTTTCGTAATGTGAGTAACCGATTTTGTGCATCTTGTTTATCATACATAACACATTTTTCTGGATGTCATCTTTGGTGCTTAGGTAGGTCTAGGTCTACTCTATCTACCATGGGGATAACAGTTATTAAACCTTTTCAGTAAGGTTATTATAGCCCAAGGAAACTCAAAAGTACATCAAAATGTAACATGAGTAACTGTGGAATTGCCCAGGTTATTGAAAGTAAATTATCTGGGTCGAATCAATAAAAAAAAAAATTTGCCACAAATGTTTTACTGTTAATTTCATTCAAGTGAGCTAATGAAAAAGTCACCCAGAAATGTTGAGCATTTATTCGGTCGCCAGCAGAAATGTCTTTTAATGTTGGGTTTAATTGCCTCAGTGACGGGAAGAAACCAATATTAAAATGTTTACATGTTCCTGACCCAAAATGCCATCATATGGGGCAGAAATTATGTCAAATGTGTAGCCAGCGTGTTTTAGTCGTGGGCCAATTGTATGGATATACTGTGCACTCACATTAGATTATGTTGCTTTTGGCTTGCTAAAATGTATCAGCTCCTTTCCTTAAAAAAAAAAAAACAATTACTGGACCAAAATTATTTCTAATTGACCCATGCTCAAATACGAAAAACACATATTTTCAGATTGAATTGAAAAGAAGGTTTTTATTTGAAACTGTTGAAATAAGGATATGTGAGGCTTTCAAGAACATTCTCATTCATTGAATAAAATGGTGAAAGGACGACAAAAAAAATGTGGTGAAAATGAACTTTCGTCCATAAAGATGAGCAATTCGGTTGGACAAATGTTGAAATAGGTCAAATTGTGTGGTAAATCACCAGTCAAGTTTGGGCACAGACCGCACAGGACCAGCGATTAAAATTGGACTCTGCATATCAAATAATATTCATTTCGAACTCTGGATATATATATGCTTAGTTTTGTGCTTTGTTTTAGTAGGGAAAATGCCTTGTTAATTTTTCACTCCCCCACATCATTTTGCTAGACATAATCAGTACTTATCAATCAAATGACCACATTTGAAGTGTTTCTAAAAAGAAAATGAGTTGAAGTGTTTTTTTTAATGGAAATTCTCCCCAATTCCCTTGGCATTAACATAGCCTGAGACATCAAGTGGAATATATTTAGGATGCACTTGATCATTGACGTCATGGTAAGCTAGTACCGATTCCACGAACTGAGTCACCCAACATTGAACTCCATAAAAAAAAATCACTGTCCACCAAAACATGTTTTGATCCCGGTGTATTGAAGAATAATGTAGAAATTAAAAAAAAATAATGTACAGACTACAATTTGTGATGTATAGAGTCTGTATTGATGTATTGTAATTTGAAATACATGTAAATATACAGTTTTGTAGTCTCTACCGATGATGTCGCTGATTGCGCTACGCACATGTAGCATTGGAGAGGCACTGCACGTGTTGTTTCCCACGTGGACAGTGGGTGTGGCTAATAATGGATAGATGTATTGAAGGGAGGGGCCTATCATTTCCTTCCTACTTATCCCCTCCCTCCCTGATTAAAGCCCCACCCCAAACTCGATCCAACCATTAGATTGCGTCACAAGTCGCTAGTGCCACTTTAGAGTTTTACAGGCCTTGATGCAATTGCACTGTGACAGCGTAAATCGACTGTCTTAGCCTATCCACATTATATCTGCACAATATTGATGTAAAACCGATACGCTCTTTCTACTGCATATGAAAGAAGTGTACGTGAAAAAGTCCCGTTTTCGTAATATCCCGTCGTACTCGATTCACCGATATCAGTTTTATCTCCAACACTAGAAATAAAAGCACTCAAAGAGCTCAAGCCTCCGCTGAGGCTAAACAATTCCCCGCCATATTGTCAGTACACCCCCCCCCCCAAAAAAAATACTCGCATAATTGGTGAGGAATCCTTTTCAAAAATCCTGGATCCAGACCCAGATCCAGATCACTTCCAAAATCTAATCGATTTGTACTAAAAACAATTTCATGCAAATCCGACCACAACTTTTGGAGTTATCTTGTTAAAACAGACAAACCAACCGACCAACCAACCAACAAAATCCGATGAAAACATATAACCTCCTTGGCGGAGGTAAAAATGGATGTCAAGCCAATGTTGGGACCTGGCCTGAGCGGTCCATCTCTTTCCACCACTATGCTTGACAGGGACAGTTTGGGCCCAACTCATCAAGTCATCATAAAAATGAATGAACAAACGAATGAAGTCAATGTAGGCAGTATTCCTCCTTTAAAGCTCCTGCTGAAAGCACCACAGCTTACAAGGGACAGAAATACTGCAATCAAGGATCTAAGAGTACTGACCGTATCGACGGAACACTCGTCCTGCACACTGCCCATTCAATTTCCAGCTGTTGTTACCTTATACTCCCAGCCAATTTGACGAATAACTGGCCTATTTTTGTGACCGGAATAGTTGTTCTGCACCACATGATGAAAGATTGTTGATTTCTCTGGGAAGACCACTGTCTCTAGTTCCTGTCAACCTTCTTTCAGTAAAGTACCGGTAGTCCTTTTTTCGTTAATGTCGCGATCTAGATAGAAGTCACAGTTAGAAAGTTATATTCTAGCGGACCGTTATAATACAAATACATTTTTAAATACTATTCAACGTATTTATGTTCACTCTGAAAAAAAAAAAATCCTTTTTTTGCAGTAGGGTCATATACTCCTGGACGCCATTAATTAATTTGTGGTCTAAAGCCGACCGCATAAATCCCCGGATTTTCACTCTAAAGGGATTTTTTTCATGGGTTCATGGAAGCAAATGCCGGAAAATCTCCGAGGAAAACAATATTAAGTTCGTGGAGATAATTAGTTAACTCGAGCTTAGCCTTAGGCCAAGACTTGTGGAAAAATAGCGAGATTTCAAGAAAGCCCGCAAGCTTGAGGCGATTTTAACGGTCAACAACAAGCTAACTAAGGCGTAAAATACGCCAGGCCGGGCGCTCTGTACTTTCCCCTCTTGGTGTGACTGATAGTTTAGGTGTTGACCGTTTGACGCTGTCCATTTTCCTGATCGAATTAGAGTGGTGTTTGCTTCATTTGGCGCATGGCCTATACTCGTCACTCGTCCGTATAGACTGAATTCCGCAGTTATTTTGTGTGGTTTATAGACGAGCCTTTGATTTTTCCTGAATATTGATTTTGTTGGTAAAACGTGGTGACAGAACAACAAAATGTTCAATAATACCACACTTACCCAACAAACAAAACAAAAACCCTATTTCTTTTGCATCGTGAGAGCTTAAGCTTATTCAGGTGTTAACCAAGGATGTTATCTCAGCAGCTATTCCACCCCCCCCCCCCGGCCTTGGCCTCCTTCCAGAAAGTGCAACGTAAGACATCTCTCTTGAGTAGTCGTGTATAACACAAATGAAGCAATCATAAATGGAGCATTTTCTTTTAAATTTATTGTCTCATTT